GCCACTGGTCAAACAGTGAGCCCTGACTCCCAGCATGTGGCCTCAGCTGTATCCAACTGTTTGCTTGATTCGAAAATGGATTCAAATATCTTGTTTTTATTAACCCTTTACCTGTCCAAAAAATGATAGGGGCAATATTTATATAGACCTTTACATCTTACAAAAGGCTTCCATTTATTTTCTCCTTTGACCCAGGAGGTGGGCAGAATTGAAGAACTGGGTGTCCCAAATGCATACTCTAAAGCTGGAAAACTCTGAAGGTCAGAGAGCCCTTCACAGCTGGTCAGTGCCTCCTTGTTCTGACCTCACAGCAATTCCAGTGGGCAGGTGGCTCTGTTAATACCTGGGGAGACAGGGAAGTGGCAGGGAGGTGGCAGATCAGTTTAGAGTCTGAGAGAGACCACTATAAATGCTGCCTTCACCATCTACCTGGTGTGAAACCCTAGACTACATGAGCTCCAGTATCCTCACCTGTAAAACAGGTATGATACCTAACTCAGAGCTGTGTAAGGATTGGAAAGATTATTATGACAAGCATAGTGCCTAGCATATAGCAGGTCCTCAGAAAATGGTAGCTTTGTAGTAGCAATTCTATGAATAAACTTGGTTGTCTTAAGACGTATTAGAATCTTCAAATAGAATGTGTAGAGAGGAGCTGTAAAGACAAGAAGCGGCAACTGACACCAAGGGATCCTAAAAACAACACAGTGGACAAGGTCGAGATAAAGTTATGCAGTGCAGAGGCCAGGAGCCCTGCTCGGCTGCAGCCTCTCTACCAGCCCCAGGCCTGGAAGGATGGCTGGTGGTCTCAATCAAGACAGAGACTCATGTAACATATTCCTGAGGGGTGTTTCAATAAATCCTTCAATAAAAATTNACTGAGGGTTGCGATCCGTTGCCAGTCACGAAAAAAAGACAAAAAAAGGAAAAAAAAAAAATTCAAAATGCACAAACTTAGAAAAATGTAGGAATCAGCTATGCAGAAAATTTGCCTATCCGTAATTTCTTACCAGAAGAATTCAAACAGCTTTCCACCCTGTTTTGGTTATTTTACCAGTTAATGTGTTTTAAAGCAAACCATTATAAAAATCAATGCTAATTGCCATTTAAAAGTCATATTTTTTCCCTCTCTTTATCAGATAACTTCTCCTGAGTAAATACAAAATAGCTTTTTAATTTGAGTGATCTCCGAAATTATTTCTTAATAGGAATGCCATCTGGGAAAAAGACCTGGGTATAAATTCCTGCACTGTCAGTTTTCAAATTAGAGCAAAGAATCTGGTTATTTTGAATCCCCGTTTTCACATCCGTAAAATAGGACTTCCTGTGTTACAAGGTGTTTATATGTGGAAAACCTCTGTCCAGTACATGGGCTAGAATCCCAAAATGTAAAATGTAAGAAATATATTTTCTTAATTTTACCACTTGATCAGTACAGATAAAACAAAAACATCATTTATTTAAAATGTATCTTTTTCAGGCTCTGGGATTTTAGGTGCGGAGGGAGAGGAGGGAATATAATTTTGACGCTAACTTTAAAATACTATAATAGCTGCTACTGAATCCAATTTTAGCAAGTCAGGATCTGATTTGCTATCTTTGATACTTTCACAAATATTTATACAATTATAAAATCAGTGATTTCCTCAAGCTAATTTATCACAAGAAAATCTTCTCACCTTTTTTTTTTTCTTTTTCCTTTTTGTCTTTTTTCGTGACCAGCAACGGATCGCAACCCTCAGTGTCGCGCCCGTACCGGACCGGGACGGCAACGGGATCGCAACCCTCGGCGTTGCACCCGCACCTCGCTCAGCCAGTGAGTGGGAACCGGTCTGTATGTGGGATCCGAACCCTCCGCGGGAGGCCACGCTCCCAAGCAGCGCACTGTAGCAGTGCGCCACCAGGCCGGCCCCAAAAATCTTCTCACCTTTGAGGGGAGATTCTGGGAGTGTGGAGAGGTCGTCTTAATATGGA